GAACTTGATTTCCTGAGGGGTGCTGACATGTAGCTCCCAGAACACACCTCCAACAAGGGCTGTGGGCAGTGAAAACAAATCTGAGAGTTTGTGACAAGTGTTACTAGGCTCCACATGTTTTGGCAGGTTCGTATAATAGAAAAACCCCTAATGTGGGAAGGTGCTGTTGAAGCCTCCCATGATCCAGAGTCATTGAACAGCAGTGGCAGCAGCGCAGCATTATTAGCTTGTATAAGGTTTTGACCAGGATTGACCTCTCTAACAACCCGATTTTTAATTATTTCCGCTTAAATCATTAAGATTTGTTGGATTCTCATTTATTGTAATTTAATAATGACAAATATTTGAAAAGCTGGGCAGAGTGTGAGAGGGAGCTCTGGGCAGAGCAGAGTGGATTGATTTGGAGTTTCATCCTAGTGCTACCTTAAGTTACATACTGTAGCTTTAATGGGCTTTTTCATTTCAAGCAACTGTATGTTATTGGTTTGAAGCAGGCTGCCTTGTGTTGTAATACTGAGTTCACTTGAGCTAAAATAAGCTTAGAATCCATATTTTACTTTATAAATAACTAATCTCTAATGAGGTGCTCTGATCCAGGTTTTCTTCTGGCAGAGTTTTAATGCTGCCATTTTTGGCTCCATTGAGAATTAATGGTGCAGTGAGTGTGGGCCCGTTGACCGGATCTTTCCCTTTCATGTCCCCAGCTTTGTCCTTCTTTTCTGGGGATGACAGTTCTCTTGCGCCTGGAATCGTTCCTTTCTCTGAGAGCTGTGAGCTCTGTGGCTGGAAGCTGCTGTTACCATTTTGGGCGATTCTGTAGATTTCAGTCATTTCTGAGACGTCTTCTTCATCGTCCTCCTCTTCAACCCTGATCACCCGTCGCAGGCTCTCCCTGGGCATGAGTGCCCTCCTCCCTTCCTCCTGCTGCTGCTGGTGCTCCATGGGCCCTTGGTTCTCTACCTTTCTCGTGGAGCGGCAGAGTGCTTTCCGGAAACCCCTCTTGAAGTTGTCTGACAAGAAGCCGTAGACAATGGGGTTGGCGCAGCTGTTAGCGTAGCCAAGCACTACAACAAAGTAGTAAAGCCCTCGGTACTCTGAAGGCAGGTCCACCAGCAGGTTGATGATGTTGAGGGCATAAAAAGGCAACCAGCAGAAGACAAATACAGCAACAACAATCACTACCATGCGTGTTACTTTACGCTCTGACTTCCTTCGCTTGGTTGAGGTGGCGTGAACTTTCTTACCCGAGCTGCGAATCTTAAAGACAATGAGCAAGTAGCAGAGGCAGATTATAAGAAGGGGGCAGAAGAATCCTACGGTAGAGGTGTAGATGATGAAGGCTGCCTGCCAGATGTTAGTCGGCTGAGGCCAGGCAATGTTACAGAGGCCTTCTGCCTTCTGGATGTTGGCAAAGATCACCACAGGCATAACAACAAGAAACGATAGTGCCCACACTGTGCCATTCACCACTTTGGCCACTTGAGGGCGACGCCACTTTGAAGACCGAATGGGGTGGACCACAGCGAGGTAGCGGTCAATGCTCATCACAGTAAGGCAGAAGATGCTGGTGAATTGGTTGATGAAGTCGACAGTCAGGACCAGTCGGCACATGAAGGAGCCAAAGGGCCATGACCGGAGGGTATTCTGCACTGCCAGGAAGGGCAGGCCGAGCATGAACAGCTCATCAGCAATGGCTAAGTTGAGGATATAGATATTGGTCACTGACTCTGTCTTTGAGTAGTGCAGCACAATGTGGATGACTAAAGTGTTTCCACCTAGGCCAATGATGCAAACAATGATGTAGATGAGTGTGATGAGGATCCCTTCCACACTGGTATCTGGAGAAACTGGAGCCCTGGTGGTGTTGAACAGGGTCTCATTCAGATCACTGTCGTTGAACATGAGCAGAAACAGTGGGAGACCAGGCGAGGGACTGGTGGAGCTGCTGTTCTCCCACAGTTCATCCATCATCTCCAGCCCAGGAAGTGAGACGTCACCCATGGCTGTGCTCTTTCCTGCTATGTTTTTCCTTCTGCCGTCTCAGCTTTCACCCATCTGCTCTGTTGGAGGAAGAAAAACAATAAGCTGAATAGTTGACATGTTTCATTTTTAAGAGAATGAAATAAAAACACATATTCTTTTCCAAGGACACAAGAGATTTTTTGTCAATACAAGTTTGTTTCCACTGCTTAGATGTTTCAGAAAAAAAGTCATGGACATTTTTTTCAGAGTGACAGTATTTCTTGATTGCCATGACACGTTCTAAAATTAAAGGCTTCAACTTCTCATCGACAATATTCAATGGTCATTTCTTCAAGATGATACAAATAACTTAATCTTAATTTATTCAGAGGTCCAGATTTCAAATGTATTTTGTTATGTAGAAAAAATTTTAACAATTATTTTATCTGTTGAAGATGCAGTTTTGTTGTAAGCAAAAATGGAGTACAGTCTGACTCAGCATTCCAGTTTATTCACATTCTCAGGGTACAAGATGATGGCTGTGGCTGTATTTCATTGCGTTCTCTGTATTCTGTACAGTCAGTGGCAGAGCTAGAAATTTCTGGATAGTGTGGCCAGGCTGGGGCACAGACTCTAGAGATGGGTAGCACATTTGAAATACATGTAAAAAGTAAATTAAATCCATAGTTCTATAAAATACTAAGCCATACATTATTAAACATGTATTGTTTATTTTGTGTAAAAATGAGACACATAGTTCTTTCTTTAGCTAACTTTGGCTGTGCTCATTATTTAATCCTAGCCGGGGACATCGCTGCTGCACAGTGGTCCATCCCCAAATGCCAACACATTCAGAGAAATGAATGCACATACCATGATATTTTGACCAATATCAATTATAAAGCATCAGAAAAATTAGTAGTTGTATTTAGGTCAACAATGTTTCATTGTTTTTCACTTTTCATTTATTAATATTGACAAGCATCATATTTTGATTCTAGCAGAGGTGACCAACCAGATTCTGGGGGAGACACTAGCCACCCCTGGATTCGCCCATATTTACAGTATACTCATATATACTGGCATTATAAAAAATGCGTTGTAATACTGCAACTCACATCAAGGTCATGATGCTTGAATTATAAGCAAATTTGCAATCTAAATATGTAACTTTGTAATAAGCATTACACTTGTGTGAACATGAGGTGTTTTGAGGAGTGATCGTGTGAGTTTTGCTGAATTTTGTATGCAGTGTTTTGGGGGTATTTTAAAGGCTACTCCATTTGATTCATTGTATTAAGTGTTTTGTACATGAAATATTCACAATGGAAAGCACAGGAAGCAGCCAAAGATAAAGACTCAGAGTAGCAGACAAAAAAAAACAAACACAAGATACAGTGACATGATGAAAAGCAGATGGGATGCAGGTGGATATGAGATGATGAGTCAAACAGGAAACAATTCAAGCTGAGTTGAAACTGGATGTGTGCAGACAGATTGATTTGACCACAACAGCTATATTTGGTCGTATTGATAAAGCAAGAAAATTAAACAGAGTGCGCTCCACAGATGAGCGATACTGGTAATTGACATTTCATTAGCAACCCAGTAGCACTCATGAACTGGGAATACAGTTGGTTGGAATAGACTCACATGTAGTAAACATCTACTGTATACTGACCGACTACTGAAGCAAAATAACAGCTGGTACACTCACCCACACATTCACACGGTCACAGGAAAAAAAGAATGAGCCTTTGTTCAGGCTGATATTAGTCACAGTAGCGGTGTGGTGCTAGAGGTGTTAGTGTGTCAGTCAGTGTGTGCCCCAGACTGAAATATGTGAATAACTATTGAATGGATTGTCATGGTACAGAAATTCATGATGTCCAGATGCTAAATTCTCGTGACTTTACCTGCAAAACTAATGACATGCTTAACAGCAGTTAGCATTCACTCACAGCCATATGTTCAATCTCAAATAAAATAATTGGAAATATTGTCTCAGATCTGATTTGTTATTTTGTGTTATTACTAAAGGAAACAGTGGCAGGAGACGTTTTCAGATCCTTTACTTAATTTCACAAGCATTTTCAGGGCACTGCATTAAAATTGTAGACAAATTTCCTTAAACATATAAAAATATATCTAAAGGGTTCAGTGATGCAAACTGACACTTATAAAGGCACATAGATGTCTGGCATTTCATTTCACCCTTAGCGGTGCCATAAAATATTCAATCTCATATCAAAATAAAAGCATCATGACAACCATTTCAGGAGAATGCTATTTAAGAAAAATATCAACCATCTCCTTCCTTAAAATGAGACTGTTTTTCAAAATGTCTGATGTTGCTTTCTGAAGATCAACTGTGAGAACAGCCCAGATGTGTCCAGAGCTCATTGACAGAATTCATCAAACAAACCAAATGAAAGGTTATTGTCACCTCAGTGGTGACAGCTGCAGTTTATAAAAAGGCAATCAGTTCTTCAGCCTCCATGGAGTTCAATTTAAAAGACAAACAAGTGGGAAAAAACAACCTAAAATGGCAAAACAAGAAAAATCAACAAATGTACTGTGTAGACCTGAGTAGTTTCTTTGATTTCAACTCACTGTCACATTCATCATTTTCCAATATTTCCAATTCCTTCAATTCACATTGAATTTGCTAATTTGGAACCCATTTAAGAGAAAACCCAGAGATCTGTGTTGTAAATCAAAGAAAACCAAATAAATGGCAGGGGTGAAAGAATAGCCTTTTTTTTCCTTCTCATCTCAAGTGTAAGTGTTTCAAAAAGAAGAAAAAATATTAATTGCACTCCTGGTCTGTCAGGGCCGCTCGGCGGCCGCTGCCTCTCCTTCGTCTTTCTCTCCTCTATCCTGTGGGCTCTGCACCTCAGCTGTGTTGCATTCCAGTAATTAGCGACTGGTTGGTCGATGCACCCAGCTGGGGTGCATCCCGATGATTACCGTTGCCTCTTTATAAACCTCTGGCAGACGCGCCGTCTTGGCTGGAACATTAACATAGTAACGCGGACTGTACATGTTGGTAGAATGCTACGCTGACAGACACTGTGCGTTTTGGCTTGACTCTACCACACTACCTACGAGCTACGCTCATTTACACTACACTACATATCATACATATCCAAGTACCGTGCTTTCCCATGTTATGTTCTTTTGATACTTTGTGTTCTCTTTCTTTACCTGCTACCGTCATGTTTTTACCCCTAGCACCTGGGTCTGCAAACTTGAGTCCAACCTCAGTCCTCCCTCACCCTCCTGGTGAGGGGGCTACCATAACATGGTCCTTGCTGATAAACAAGGGATGCAATAAAATAACATCAAGAGCAGCTCCGGTTGTGTCTCAACATGTCACAACTCATACATCACCCAGATGCAGATCAGAGACAAGGAGGTTACAGTGAAAGGTGGACAGAGCTTTAAGATGGTTACTGGTACACAGACAGTTAAACAGGAGCACAGATAGTTAAAATGACTAATAATGCAAGTACTGGGGCTATTTTTCATACAGTACATTGCTCAACAGATCCAAAACTACAATCACCACTTCTCGAATGGATGCCTCTGCCAACCAATAGAATTCATGGGTATGGGACAGAAGTGAGGTTAATGACCTTGGCCTTTGACCTTTGACCACAAAAATCTAATCAGTTCAAGTGAACACCTGAGCCAATCCCTTCTAGGTGTTCTGACATACTTTTCCTACATATAGCAACTATTTAAGACATTTCAGCAAATGTTGTCTAAAATTTGAACAGTTATCACTCCTTTTAACCAAAATTGATCAGTTTCTTTGCAGCTACTGTAAAAGGCTTGTTCCAGAACATTTAAGAGTTATTTCACATTAGTTGAGGCAGTTGTCAAACTATGTTAAGTTCTCAACTGTTATGAATTCCTCATGCATAGATACAGGTGTGTCAGAAAGGATTCACACCTCTTGACTTTTTGCACATTTTACAATTGCATTTTTTCCATTTCAATATGAATTTACAAAGCCATAAAATGTGCAAAAAGTGAAGGGGTGGGAATCTTTTCTGAAGTGACTGTATATACTATAATAGGCTTCAGGTCAATATCACAATATCACAATATCACAATACCACGATGTCACAATTTGTATTTGCTTTTTCTAATCAGCTACAGTAAAAGTCTTTCTGTGATTGGTTGAAGTGTCCAGCCACTCTTCTTGCAGATCACTTCAGCTTCTCAGGAAACTTTAGGGCATCTTGCACATACAGCACATATAAAATCTACCCACAGATTTTCAGTGTGTTCAGGTCAGGGGACTGTGAGGGCTGTTCCAAACCTGTCAGCATTTCTTGAAGAAGTTCATTATTGACTTTGAGATTTGCTTTGCCTCACTGGTGGAACCCATTCTTCCCTTTATCAACACCACCACACAACCCCAATCACAATATTTTACATGTATGCTGACCAGTAGGCAGTAGGCATCCTTTTCATCTTTTCTAAACACAGATTTGGTGACTCTGGCCAGAAAGCTCAATTTTAATTTCATCTGTCTACAGCGCCTGTTTGTTTCCACATGGCTCCAACTTATCCAGATGCCGCCGTGCATACTTCAGATGTTGACTTTTGTAATGAGGTCACAGGTACTATTTCCTTCTGATGACTCTCCATGTACAGTGGACTCTGTTTGCGAATCAGCGTTGCATGCAACTTTATCTGAAAGTTTTCAGGGTCTTCCATGTTGTGTCTTGAGTTCCGTAGTTCCACTTAACTGCAGTTTCTTAATGAAATTTAAGATTGTGGGGTTATTGCAACTATTTTTAAAAACATTTTAAAGATTAAACAGTCAATTAAAAACTGTTAGATGCATCAATAAAGAAAATAATAGTTGCAAAGAAGAAAGAGAGTTGTTAACCATGAAATTAGCAGCTTTCTTTCAGCCAAACCCTGACTGTAGTGCAGATGTAACATTAATTCTCATTTCTTAAAACTGTGATGCCTCAGAGAAATCAATTTATCAAGCTCCCTGTTTACAGCTCTTACCTCAAACACCCTGAAGTCTGTCTGATATGTACATTGTATTTGTCATGTTTCATTTCCCCTCATT